GTTGAAACATACTCAAGACCATGTTTTGCATTACCTGAAGAATCTTCCTATATTTGAAGGATATTGTGATACAAATTGGATCACCGACTCTAGTGAAACCAAGTCCCCAAGTGGCTATATGTACACACTTGGTGAGGGTGTTGTGTCTTGAAAATCATCCAAGTGGCTTTATAACTAATTCCTTGAGAGTATTCCGAATAGGTTGAAATAAGTGATTGTTATGTGTATAATAACCCAAACTTGTATAATTAGTAATTATACAAGTTTCCCAAGATTAAAAGAGATTAATTATATACATAATCTGATTTTTACAACGAGTTGTTCCTTCAATGGGAACGTCATAAGTTGTTCCCTAAATGGGAATGACTTTCCCTTAGTGAGAACATTATAGATTACTTTTAAGATAAAAGTGCAATTACAGAAAGTTTTGGAGTAAAATTACAAATAGGCAAAAGTTATCCGAAAATGAAAAATAGTGTATAGAAAGACTATTTTTATGATGATTATGAGATTAGAACACATGTTTAGAAAATGTTAAGTATTGGCTAGAAAAGAATATGAAAGTGAGGGCAAATGAGTAAATGATCATATATCCTTAGTTGACTTTGGTCAAAGCATGTTTAAGTGATTAAAACCACTTCATTAATTCATGAAACACATTTCACCAACAACCCCTTTCTTCCTCATTTTGGTGGGAAGCCATGGGAGAGTAAAGAAAAGTTTGAGAAAATCATAACTCGAGCTATACTTCATGAAATTGTGGGATTTCAAAGTCAAACATACTTAAAATCTTGAGAGGAACAAAGCACAACCCTTATTTTCGTGTGGGAAGCATTGTAAATAGAGATCGTTCCCCTCAAAGTTTCAAAAATAATCTTGAGTTTATAGGGGGTTTGAGTGGTTTGGAGCTCATAGAAGCTTGAAGAGTCTTCCTCCTTCCATTCGTGGGTGATTTGTGGTAAGTAAATCAAACTCCTTTCAAGTTTTCATGAAAAAAAATGAGAATGCTAGGTTTTGAATGAATAATAACAACATGAATAGTAATTTTAGAGGATTTGTGATGGTTGTTTGGTGTTGTTTCATATTATAGAGTTGATCATAGTGACATTGCGGTGGAAGAACACCCATATGAATAAACTTTTGTTCAAGACCAAGATTCTTGAAAAATTTCCCAAAGAGGTTAAGTTGTATTCATGAGATTTTAGATGGATTTTCTAGACAATAGCTTAGTATTCATGTGGTGTATGATGTATTGATCATATTGCCACATTTTACCATAGGTTGCTTTGTTGTGGTTGTTTGTGATCGAAAAATCTTGAAGAAGAAAAGAGAAAGTAACGAAAGTCGACTAGAGGTAAACTTCTGGACCTTGGGGTTAATCCCTTTGTGTGTTCTGCCATGCTCCTTTGGGAGTAATGGTTGATTTATAAATGTGCATGTAGTATCATGACATGGCATGATGCATTATGAGATGAATACTTGATGAATGATTGATAATATAAAAATATGTCATGATGAATAATGAGAAAGGATGTTTATGATAATGAACATTAATACTTGTATATGAATCACAAGTGTTAATGTATTGCCTGAGATGCAATTATGTAAAGGAAAAACTATGCCAAAGGTTACTAGGTGATTTTAATAAGAATTAAGTTAATGATGATGATGATTATGTTTGAGATGTATCTCTGGCCAGTAGATAGATGTATGTTACAGTCACTTTCCTTGGAACCTAACAGGGTTTTCCTTGGAGTTATATACTTAAGAGACAAAGGTTTCCCTTGAAAGTGTATTGTATGTGCGCCTTCCTTGGAACAAAAGGGTTCCTTGGAGATTTGATGCTTGTGCGACAAAGTTTGCTCACGAAGGGACTATACTGTAGGGACTTCCTTTGGAGTTAGCGCGATGGGAACCTACTTGAGATCATATATCTAAGAGGATAAAAGGGTTCTCTTAGAAGTTCCCTGCGAGATGAGATGATATAATAGTATATGATGTATGTTATGAGTAGAAAAATATGTATAATGTATTATATACTATGTTATATTGATGTGAGTATGTAGTTACTTTCCTTTGAGCGAGCCCTTGAGAAACTACTTGGGATCAGATATCTAAGAGGCCCAGACCCCTTTTGAAAATAACTGCATTTGTGGACTTTTCTTGGAGTGAGCCCTTGAGAAAATCCATGGGGGTTTATGCCTATGACACCGAAGTTCTCTCATGAAATGACCATGCTGTAGGGACTTCCCTTCGAGCTAGCCTTCGAGACCTCTTTGTGGTCAGATACCTAAGAAGCCTAGTTCCTTCTTGGAAGTTTCCTGTGAGTTGAGATGATATATGAGAAGAAATGATAAAAAAGATAGAGTAAAAATATATATTAAGGAAGGGACTTCCCTTGGAGCTAGCCCTCTTCGGGGTACAGATGCCTGAAAGACACAATAGAGATCTCTTGGAAGTTCCCTACGAGTTAAGATAATATAATATGTTGTGTGTATGGATTTCCCTTGGAGCCAACCTTATGAGGACCTCCTTGTGGAGTATTAGCCTAGGAGTCATACTTATGTGGACCTCTGTAAGGTTAATATCAAAGAGAAATAGCCTAGATCGTTCTCTCTTGAAAGTTTCATACGAGTTGAGATAAGATAAGATGAGTTGAGATGAGATGAGACAATATATTGTATGTTATGTTATTTTACTATGATGCACATGCAGTGAACTATAGGGTGGAATGATCCTCCAATAACCCTTAGTTTACTGATATTTTTATCTCACCCCGTGTTGGGGATATCATTTTAGGTACCAACAGTTATAGTATTGGAGCATCATGTGGCAAGAGGGTAAATTTAGCATGATTACATAGCATATAGCCTGATTATTGTCTTGATGATATGTATTCGGATAATGGGAAAAGATTATGAAGTGATGAGATGATAGTTTAATTTACATATTTTGTATAGGCCTTCTGATTACAATTGATAGAGATCATGTATAGGGCTTATATTTCCATGATATATTTTGGATTATGTAAATGTGTAATGAGATAATGTAATAGATTATGACGATGTAAAGTGATATTTGTGTATGAAACATAAATAGAGGTTATTTGTAATGCAAGCTATGTATGTGATGAGTCTCCAATTTACTATGTATTAAGGGTTAATATGAGCATGAAATTGATTTAAAAGTAATTAAAAGTTATGAAATTATAATTAAATGGTTATTTTATTTTCAATAATATTCTCATAAGATTTTTTATATTTTGCAGTAAATTCCAGCTCAATAAAGAAATAAATTAGAGAGATTAAATAGAGTTGCTTTGGATTTCTAAATCATTCAAGATCTTATCAAATCTTCGTTTGAATATTTTTAAGGAAAAGTTTCCATTAAATAAAAAGGGAAAGATTTGAAAGATTGGATCAAAGATACGATTAGAGATTTTAGATTGGAGAGATCAAAAAAAGAAATAAATTGGAGAGATCAAATAGAGTTGCTTTGGATTTCTAAATCATTCAAGATCTTATCAAATCTTAGTTTGAATATTTTTAAGGAAAATTTTCCATTAAATAAAAAGGGAAAGATTTGAAAGATTGGATCAAAGATACGATTAGAGATTTTAGTGAAGATTCAATTGAAGATATGATGGAAAATTAAAAGATATGTTTTCATCCCTATAAAAAGGCATCTCTTGGAAACTAAATGGGAGAATTTGACAGAGGCAACAATATTCAGAGGAGGAGACTCACGCTGGAGATCAGGATTCCAGAAAACTTGAAGATTGAAGACCATTGATCTTTCTTCTTCATCTTTTTCTTTTCTTTATTTGTTATGAATTATTTTTACTATTTTAATTTGTCAAATTCAGATATGTCTGGCTAATTTCTTTTTGTAGTTGGGATCACAGATCCAATGTGAATGCTTTATATGTTTTAAATTGTTTTTATAATTAATGTAGTTTATGTAGTTTTATTTTGCCTGTGTTAATTCTTCCATACTCTTGATGGAATTGATCGCTCTATTATAGGGTTTTGAGGGTTAGAGCTCACATTAGACATATTGGGGTTTTAATCTGGATAAGGGTAGAATAACAATCCGTACATGACCTAAACATAGGCTTACATAGATTGCAGACTTTTAATTCATTTGCTTAATGCTTAAATCAAGAGGAATTACTAGGACACTAGGATTCTAATTGGGTTAAAGGGTTGATAACACTAAGACATTAGGGTTCAACTATTTAATAGGGAAATATTGAGTTGTCTGAGCTAATAAATTAGTTAATTATAAAATATAATTTAGGAATATAAGGTAGGATCGGAGGTGAAATACATCCTGGCTACAGCTCTTTTACAATTTTTCATAACTCATATTTTCTTGAATGCTATTGAATATTATTGTTTTTAAATTACAACAAACAATCACCTTCACAGTCAAACTGATTTCTTTTCCAATTAAAAAGGGAATAGTTAAAATTAGTCATTGGTGCATTAATCCTCGTGGGACGATATCTTACTTATTATTTTATTACTTGAAACGAACGATATACTTTCCGATTTCGCAACAAGTTTTTGGCGCCGTTGCCGGGGATTAATTACGCCAATATTGATTTTAACTTTCAATCTTTGAGATTGGAATTTTATTTTTGTTTTGTTACTAATTGATTTCTCTCTTTTATGCGAGGTAAAGTTAACAGCGAACCTTTACAGTTTGATCCAGAAATCGAGAAGACTGCAAAGAAGAACAAGAAACTAACCAAGCTAAGGAAGCAAGAGGAATCCTCGAATTCAGAGCTAAAAACAGAACCCGAGATGGCAGCTCCGAATCCACCATCGGAGGATGAATTGATGGAGTCAATCCCTGCTCTTCTTTTCACAAGGTCAAATTCTAGCATCGTCAGACCATGAATCGATGCTAACAATTATGATATTCATCTGTCATTGATAGGATTGGCGGAGAAAACTCTATTTGGCGAGGAAGATTATGAACACCCCTATGATTTCATGGACAGATTTCTAAGAATCTGTGACATTAACAAGCACCACGGAGTATCAGATGATGCAATTAGACTCTGGTTGTTCCCTTTTGCTGTAACCGGGAAAACTCTCAGATGGTTGGATCGACAAGCTCCTAACAGTATCAGAACATGGGACGACCTGGCAGCCAAGTTCTTTGCTGAGCACTTTTCCATGGAGAAATACAACAAGTTGGTTAATGAAATTACCAACTTCACTCAACAGCCAAGAGGGACTCTGTGTGTAGGTTGGACCAGATTCCAAGAACTGATCAGAAAGTTCCCCCAATATGATTTTCCAGACGGGAAAAAAGTCAGGGTCTTCTACAATGGGATGACACCAGATTCCAGAATGATTGTCAATGTTGCAGCTGGTGGAACCATAGGGAAGAAGACAACAGCTCAAACTTTAGAGCTGATTGACTACATAGCAAAGAACGGGAATGCATCTATGGCAGTTCAACCAGTTCAACCAAATAAGGGACTTCTGCAATTGGGGAATAATGATGCGGCGTTAGCTGATCAGAAGATTATATCTCAACAGCTCGCCAATATGAATGCTAAGTTGGACAAGATGCAAATTTCTACAGCTCAAGTTAATTCAGTTAACTGTGAGTATTGCAAAGGAGAGCATGAGACCAACGAGTGCCCAACACTTGTAGGATCATATGCGTTCCAAGTTAATGGAGTCTGGTATGATCCAAGACCACCGCAGAACTTCCAGAGGAACCAGAACAATGCTCCAAGGAATAATTTCCAAAGGAGAGTTCAAGGGGGAGGTTTGGATTATAAATCCAACAATTACTTGCAACCTCCACCAATCCTGCACAGTCATACTTCTGAATTAGAAAAGGAATTAATGCAATTGACCAAGACTACTACTGACTATATACAAAGCACTGATGCCTTCAGAAGTGATACAATCGCATTCATGCAAGAGATCAGGAATCAAAAAGCATCTATAAGGAATCTGGAAACTCAAATTGGGCAGTTGTCAAGACAAATAGCTTAGAGAAGTCAAGGAACATTCCCCACTGACACCATAATCAACCCAAGGAAGCACTATAATGCCATCACTACTAAAAGCGAGGATCTAGAAAAAGATGAAGTTGAAGCTTCTACAGGCAAGAATGAGCACACTCAAGAAGGAAAGAAAAAAGCAAAAGAGCAACCTCCTGTAGTTCAAAAGAAGCAATGGGATTTCTCACATTTTGAGAAACCTTTATATCCCATGAAGCTCAAGCAACATGAACAAAGGAAGCAATTGTCTAAATTTTTAGATATTTTTAAGAAATTAGAAATTAACATTCCTTTTGCAGAAGCTCTGGAGCAAATGCCTTCGTATACAAAGTTCCTGAAGGAGACATTGTCTAAGAAGCGGAAGCTCACAGAGGATGAACCTGTTACACTAACAGAAGAGTGCGGTGCAACCATACAAAAAAATTTGCCTCCAAAGTTGAAGAATGCAGGGTGCATCAGTATTCCATGCACCATCGGCAATACGACTATAGAGAAAGTCTTATGTGATCTTTGTAACAGCCCGTTGTACACCGGTATTGTTAACATTAATTATGATATTAAGTGCAGTTACAATCACAACAATTCATTTATAAAAATGCGAGTAAACTTTTTCCGTTTTATTACGCGAGCCTTTAAAACAATAATAAGGCGTAATAAATAAAAGTTGTGACCGTAACTGTAAAATCTTTGCGAAATAATTATTTAAACTATCTATATATCATAAAATACTTCCCTCAAGTCACTAAGGGGTTCCCATAACCCACTTAGCTAAAATCTCACTTTTACGTTTTCTTCCTATCTGAACATGGTTCGGTCTTTTAATTTTTGCGGATAAACCGCATGCCGCGAACCTCTCATTTTTTAATATGTTTTTCTAGACCTAGTTAAATTTCAAGGAAGCTATCACACGAGTCATAAAGTTCTCGTTTGCTCCAGATATCATTGTTTGAAGTTGGACAAGTAAATCTGACAGCCAACCTCAAACCGGCTCCAAACAGCCTTCACTCAATCAATTATTATGGAAAATACACTAAACCAATTGATCTAAAATTTTTATACAGTAAACTAATCACCTCAAGCTTCAATTTTACATATCATGCACCTAATTTTACCAAGAGATGAAGCGAGAATAAAATTTTCAAAAACTGCCAGAAACAGCCCCTGCACAGGTGCGTTCTGGGCAGTCCGTTTTGACAGGCTTCTACAGGGCTTCGTGCAACCCAAAAAATTCCCAAATTTTAACACAAGATAGAGGACATCTCAAGATTTAAAAAGGCGTATGGAACGTCCCTATCAGACTTCTGTGGAGGGAGATATGCTCTCCCAAACTTCACCTCAATTCTGCCAATTTCTAGAAATTTAGCCAGAGTTTCCTTTGTTTTTTCAATAAATCCCAACTTTGCAAATATGTTATCTAACCTCAATTTTGTACCTAATAATCATGGGTAGCACACAAAGACCAGCAATGCCTTGGTGCTCTTACAACCCTTCACAATTTATATTCAATTTGCTCAAAATATATACTCAATTCTTACTTTTTCAATTTAACTAATTTCAATCACAAAGGTCCAATTGCATGCGTTCTTTGAATCGTAAATTATCATTCACGTCCTAGAATAGGCCTATTGCCCTTTCATCATATTACATACTATAATGTTACATCAATTCTCCATATTACAATTTACAACTTCTCAAATAGACATATTACAATTTACATTGCCATAACTTTCAAATGAACATAATAATCAACCACTAAACTTAGCCAAAAGAGATATGAACAAAATGATAATATGAATGGTCCTATCAAAATATAGTGTTCATTTCCTAAGTATAGCCTAGGCCCAATGGCCACCAAAATGCAAAACAAGCAAAAGTCCTCATGCTCAACCTACGGGCTTCTTGCTTGCCGCCCCAACACAACTGCTACCACCTGAAATAAAGTCCCAAAAATAGGGTGAGATATACAGATATATCTCAGTAACCCAGAGGTTCTGGAGAATACTCCACACCATGGCTCACTTTGATGCATATAAACAATATAACATAACATCTGAAAACGGGATAAAGCAAGGGATTTAGTGAAGTAGGGAAGCATAGGGAAACAAAATACGACGAAGTTGGAATGGTCAATGCCAAAACCACGCAACGTCCAGCCTATTGGCCTCGGCATATAGCCTACGGGTTTCAAACCAAGGAGTGTTCCCAGAACATCAACCAAGGCACCCTCCATCCATAACCACCCGAGACTTCCTAGTGTGCTCCTCTACGGATCACACACCACGACCCCAGGTCAACTGGAACTCCCTCGCGGAGACCTATCCAGTGGAAGTCTGTAACACCCAAAAACACTAAGACATTAGGGTTCAACTATTTAATAGGAAAATAATTAGTTGTCTGAGCTAATAAATTATTTAATTATAAAATACGATTTAGGAATATAAGGGAGGTTCGGAGGTGAAGTGCATCCTGGCTACAACTCTTTTACAATTTTTCATAACTCATATTTTCTCTATATTCTTGAATGATTTTGAATATTATAGTTTTTAAATTCTATTTTTAAATTACAACAAACAATCACCTTCTCAATCAAACTGATTTCTTTTCCAATTAAAAAGGGAATAGTTAAAATTAGTCATTGGTGCATTAATCCTCGTGAGACGATATCTTACTTATCATTTTATTACTTGAAACGAACGGTATACTTGCTGATTTTGCAACAGTAGGAAATCCTATGCTAATGGGGCATGGTAGATGTATGTATAATAAATGAGGTTGGTCAATTAAGTACCAATTGGAAATGGGAAGACATCCCTAATCACCATAATACAACCAATTGCTGTCAGATTTTATTTAATCAAGGATGGTCATTTTGGAATATCCATAACTTGCTCAATTTTTAACCAAATGAGGCATATTATATATCATTTTAAAGCCCCATGAGTCTAGCTTATTGTATCCAAGTTTGAGAATTTTTTGGGGAGCGAAATGTTCCCAATTTGAGTTGGAACTAGAGCTACCAAAAAGAGAAAAAATGTCATGTCTGAAAGTTGTTCCGTGAGTTGAGTTGGGAATGAATTATGGGAACGACCCATGGGAATGGCACATAGGAACGTCCTCTGTCAGAAAACGAGAACGTCTTTTGTTCAAGGAATGGGAACGACGTCTGGGAACAGGAACGCCAGTTACCTAGAATTAAAAAAGAATGAGATTTACGCCACGCATGTTTATGAGAACTGTATGGTTATATATTATGTGATTAATGTAAGATACATTTATAGTAAAGATTAAGTCTTCCACACAACGTAGGAGTTATAATTACAATTTGAATTGTTTAAAATATGGAAAGAGTTTTTAAACAGAAAAGCAATTGTTAGCAGAAAAGAAAAAAAGTTTATTTGTTATTTTAATTCAACTACTGTGACTGTAACTGCACTTAATACCGTAATGTATGAGAACAAACCGGGAGCTCACAGGGTGTTACAATGTGCATCTAATATGATATTAAAGAACCAATCAGAATTGAAAAGAGTGTTATGTATAATGGTAAGTCTCGATATATATATATATATTAGAGACATGATCCCGTGAGGCAATTACTCTTTAGTGGTATTGTTATGAATCCATTAACTAAAGGTATGACTAGAGAGTTAAAGGGAAATTTGTTCAAAGGAAAAGGTTTAAGACCATTAAAATGTTGATTATTGCGGACACTCTACCTAGAAGAGTGGAGATCCATGAACTAGGTTCAAAGAGAAAATCAAGTGATGATTGACAGATAAGCACTGTGGAGTTTTTCAAAACTCACACTCATTCATAGACAAGATAGTGCATAAGGAAAGGGTAAGCAAGTAGACTTTTAATGATTTCTTATTTTGATATCTTCATACGATATATGTAAGGATGCACCATCGGAAATCACCTATGTGAGAATGAAGTGAGGGTCGCTTCTATGAGAATATTGCAAGGTCATATTCTCTAACGCACCTGCAGAATGGCCATAAATAGAGGACCCGCCGCCACAAGAATAGTGGTAATTCATTTTATCCTAGGAGATAATTGTCCATAAATATTAAGCACCATAGAAAAAGCAAAATTGTCTTAAGGACACAATGTCTAACATTGGACTCGAATTTTCTCTTGTTGCATTCATATATTTTCGTGTGATACGCTTTAACTGTGTGTTATTGCATGTTTCAATTTCTTATATGTATTTCATGGACCGAGAATATTGTTGAGGTTATTTCTCTGACACATGTTATCCTTTCTTATAATGATCTTAACATCATTTTTCTAACACTATTGAGGCTAGTTTGTAAACCACATAGAAGAAACAATAACAAATGCTGACTTTCTTTGCCAAAGTACTAAATAATCCATCTTTTATGCAACATTTAGACCGTAAGAATGCCTAGAAGATACCAGTGTTGGATGTTCAAATCAAGCAAAATAGGAGACTAAATGGTATACTCAATCGCGGAGAACTTGCAGCAATATGATCTTGTAACAGCGGCAGTGCTTATTTAATAAGTTGTGAACTATCAAGCCATGAAGAAGAGCTAGCACCTATGGAGTCTGAGATGAAGGCTTTTTTTCCCAGTAGCTTATGATAATGAATTTAGCAGTGAAATCATAGACCGAACATCAAGTTTTGTTCCAACAACTTAGGATATGATCTTGGAAAACTTGCTGAAGAATGACATGGTTACTAGAAATCCAAATGATGAAGTTATAATTGGTGATTGTTCATCAGTTGATGCAACATTGTAGGATTCATTAGCAAAGCATAATGATTGTACTGGGGAATTGCCAGACCTTGTGGAACATATGGACTATCTTGGGTCTAAATTGTTGTGAGATATGAAGTGCTTAGAGTATTACTAATATTCATATCCTCAGCTTGGCCTATGCAATTTTATTCACATTGCACCATGGTGGAACAACTTGATTGTTTTGTTACTATTTTTGGTTGCAATACGTGATCATAGTTGCTAA